CCCCAAAACCCCAAAACCCCAAAACCCCTAAAATGATTCAAATATGTGAAATAACTTATCTATTACTTACTTTTCATAAATTTAAATTAGTAATCTAAAGGGCGTTATCAGTAAAATTATAATAATTGTATGTCAATAAAAATTAACGCGGTATCCTTCTATAATAAATTGAAGAAATTTCAAGACAAATGGAATCAGAAATAGGAGTACGGTGCATTTTTATTTATACTAGGAAAGGTAAAGGATACAGAATCCCCAACTAAAACTCAACTTCTCCATAGCTGGCTTATGTCATATCAATTTTCAGAAACAATTTTTGTCTTTACAAAGGATGAAGGTGTATTTGTCTATACATCGCAATAAAAAAGTAAGATATTGATAATTATCTTAACATTTTTTAGAGAACTTTTTGGATGCATTGAGACCTCCAGAAAATTATTTAGGACCTCGGTTGACAGTTGTATTAAGAGATACAAAGCAAGATCAAACTAAACAAATTAACTAATTCTTGGATTAACTGTAAATTCAAAAAGATGTCGGAAGCTTTCCAAATGAAGAACTAATTGGAGATTTTTCAAACGAATTCAAAAGACAATTCAATAAGAAATTTTAAGTTGCATCTAAGGATTGTAACAAATTTTTCGAGGAGCTCTTATTAACCAAAGATCAATTTGAGATTGAATCTCTAAAGATAGCTGCTTTGTTTTCTGAATACGTAATGAAAGAGTTAATTAAAGACTGTGAATAAATTCTTGAGCTAGGTAAGCTTGAAAACCATGATATTATTTCTGGGAAAATTGAAATGATACTCGATAAAGAAGAAAAATTGAAAGATTTTTATAAGACAATACCCAAGACATTAAATAATGAATATGATAGCAGTTGTCTTGAATTTTAGTACTAGGTTGGAATCCAAAGTGGTGGATAATATAATTTAAAAATGGGAGCCCCTAATAATTAAAGCCCGCTAAGTCCTGATACCATTCTTTTATCAGTTTGCAATAAGTATAAGGATATTTGCTGCAATATTAGCAGGACAATAATTATAAATCTAGTTGACGAGTAAAAACATGCTTATATATTCCTTAACGATATGATGAACTATTTGATATCTCTGATGATGGTTGATAAAAAAATTAGTGATATATATAAGGCATTTATTGAATAGGTAAAATCTAAGGGGAAAGAAAATCATCTAGCTCATCTTCCCAAAGTTTTAGGGTATGGTATTGGAATTTATCCAAAAGAAGACTTGCTCTCGATTAAAGAGGATAATGAAAAGATTATCGAGGCAGGAATGGTTTTTAATTTAAGATTATCATTGGCTAATTTTTAACTCACACCAAACAGAAACTGCCTTCTTATTGCAGACACTATTCTGATTAAACCAAAGAGTGATGATGCAAATCGAAATGTAGATATTTTGACAAGGGGTGTTAAAAAAACATATAGTGAAATTTCATATACTTTTTCTGAAAATGATGATATAGATGAAGATCCCACTGCTGCTGAAGAGAAGGCTGATAAAAGTAAAAAGAAGCCGGTTTAAACTCAAAACATCAAAGAGAAATTAGAAAAGAGTACCAAACTTGGAGTTGTTTAAGTTGAAAGACTTCGCTAATAAAACCCAACAATGGTCGGTGATGATGTTAAACGAAAAGAACATCAAAAGGAATTAATGTTCTAAAAGCAAGAAGAATTGAAATTGAGACTTGCAGATAATGATTTACAATTTACAGGCAAAAATAATTCAAAAGTAAAAGACCTTGATGCTGTGATTAGCTATAAATCATAGCGAGAATTTCCAAGAGAGTGCCAAAATTACCAGCTCTATATTGATAAAAATAAGAATACTATTCTAATACCATTTAGAGATGAAACAGGCTAAATGATGACAGTTCCATTCCATATCTAAACAATTAAAAATGCATCAATAAATACTGAAAATAATGTGAGCAATCTTCGAATTAACTTTCATTTCTAAGGATAAGGCATTTCAAGCAAAGAAGTTAATTTCCCAAGTATGAGGGGACCAAATTAAGTATTTATTAAAGAAATCACAATCAAATCTCAAAATACAATTGGGTTGACAGCTTCATTTAAAGCACTAAAAGAAATTTTGAAGAAGATTAAGCAAGAAGATTAAATAAAAAGTAAATCAGGGGATGCAAAGGAAGAAGATGCACATCTTTCTGATGAGACATTGATACTATCAAAAGGCAAAAAAGTAGTCCTAGATAAAATTAGTATAAAGCCAACATTTGTAGGAAAAAAGACAGTTGGCTAGCTAGAGACCCACATTAACGGCTTTAGATTTATGAGTAATAAAGGCCATAAAGTAGACATTACCTACAACAATATTAGATAAGCATTTTTCTAGCCTTGCGAAAATGATTTAATTGTCCTACTGCATTTTAGACTGAAAGCGCCAATTTCAGTAGGAAATAAAAAGACTTTAGATATTTAATTATACACAGAAATTTGTGCATTAGTGGATGATCTTGATTCTAAACAAGCAGCGAGGAAAAGACTTAATGAGCAAGATGAGTATGAACAAGAATAAAGAGAGATTTAAAACTGAGATAAGCTAAACATAAAATACAAAAGATTCACTTAAGCTGTTGAAGCCTTTGCTCTTGAAAATAAATATGAGATTGAATTCGATGTGCCTTTTAAAGATCTCGAGTTTACTGGGTGTCATGCGAAATCTAACGTGAAAATAGTACCTACTAGAGGATGCTTGATAGCTCTATCAGAACTCCCATTTTTCGTACTGGATTTAAGTTAAGTGGAAATAGCTCATTTTGAAAGGGTGAGTTTTATGACTAGAAATTTCGATATGATATTTGTGCTTAAAGATTTTCAAACTTTTAAGAGAATTAGTACGATACCAAATTAACTTCTAGATACCATAAAGTCATGGCTTGATACAATGAATATAATATATTCAGAGGGACCAATATGCTTAAACTGGCCAACAATTTTAGATTCTATCAGAGAAGACTTTGATTCGTACATTAATGATGGTGGATGGGGATTTTTATTTGATGAAGAAGTTGCTGGTGGATATAATTAAGAAGTCTCTGGTGATGAAGACGAAAGTGACTCAGAGTATAATGAAACTGAAGACGAGGAAGAGGAAGAAGGATCGGAAAGTAGTGGTAGTGAATTTTCAGAAGAAGCAAGTGCTGAAAGCTCAGATGTCTAGCCAGATGATGAAGAAGAGGAGGAAGGAATGGATTGGGATGAAATGGAAAGATAAACTATAGAGTAAGATAGACGTTAAAATGAGCTAGCCAAACGAAGATTTTAAGAGGAGGAACATATGAAGAAAATTAAAGGACCCAGCAATGGTGGTGGGAATAGGGATTAGAAAAAATAAAGTAATGGATAAAATCAAATTTCTAAGGTTAGTGGGTTTAACTAAACTAAAACAAGCCTAATGGGAAAAGTTCAAAAGAGGAGATGATAATCAATAATTTTAATTGAAACTGCTATAAATAATTATTAACTATGAATTGTGAATATGTTTTATTGTGGGGTTTTGGGGTTTTGGGG